GTCTCTACAAAAAAAAAAAAAAAAACAAAACAAACAAACAAACAAAAAAAAAACCAGCCTTCTGGTTGTCTGAAGAAAAAAATCACAAAGGACCTACAGTGGATTAAGGTCTCTCTTTCAATAAGAGAGAAGCCTACTAGAAGTTCAGTCAGTTGTATTCAAATGGGAATGATACTTCTTCGGCAAGAATATCATAAAGCCCAAAAGAAGGTATGTGAGACTAGAAACTTCAATTCCCAAGTGAAGACACAATGCTAATTTGTTTCAAGCCATATTTCCATCCCTCATACTTAAGGCTACCCAAGGAGGGAAACTGGAAATGCAAGGTTGTGTCAAGATTAATTCCAGCAGGAAGGAGCAGCCTCTTCATCCACAGCAGATACTGGCCACACAAAGGGCTGACAATATTTAACAAAATATGTCTCAAGGCCCAAGCCAATATCTTCTGAAGTCTTCCTTGCAAAGCAAATGAAAATATCTGGTAGTTAGAATGTCAATAAACAAATGAAACAATCTAGGCAAGTAAAATCGAATTGTCAATTTCCTCACACTTCTCCACTAAATCATTCCAATTATAGTCCTGTACCCTTCAGGCATTCCTGTCAATCAGTTCTATCCTGAAGCCAATTTAACCCTGAAGTTCCTGAAGATATTTCCTCCAAACTCATGACAGTCACTTCTCATAATCCTCTTTTCTCTCTAAACCTTCATAAGGAAATGCTCAACTCTTCCCAATCCCATTCCAACTTCCTATTCTCACCAAATGAGATGTGAGGTCTCTATTCAAGATTAAACTCATAATAACCTTAAGTGTTTGTTGCTCTGAACAGGAAATCTCTGGAAGTACTTTTTGTCTGATTTAGACTAGCCTATCTTCTCATAATTGTGATAGGCTATGACTTAGGATTTCAGGTTTAAAGTGTGGTCTTTTGAAATCCACCACTCTATAGCAGTGGAAGTACTTTTGGGAAATTCAGTAAATCCTCTGGGATATCAACATGTATGTATGTACCTGTATACATATGCATATATATACACACACACATTTATATATACATATATATTATACATATAGATAAATAGATCTATTTATATAAAGGGTATGTGTATGCATATAGAGATACACACATTCACATATATATCCACCCACATACCCATAAACACACACACATGCAGAGTCTTTTGAGTCCCCTGCACACTCAATTTCACTACAGTGATTCCAACCATTTCAGGGTATGGAGCAGTAAGGAATAGGTTAACTGTCCCACATCTTCTATTTTACAAACAATGTACTAGTTGAGAGGCAGGAAAAAATCTGCCCAGAACTTTTCTGACTCACTTGACTCCCCCAGTACAAAGACCATTGGTAGTTTTTGAAGTGTATAAAGTAAAAAATAAAATAAAATACAGTAAACAATACTACCTTATTTTCCTGAAAACATCTACTTATCTGTCAGGTCAGAGCTAGAGGTGGTAATACAAAATCCTGGGGTAGTTGGGCTGGAAGAGTAAGGACGGGGTGGATACTAATGATACTTATCTGTCAGGCCAGAGCTAGAGATGGTAGTACAAAATCCTGGGGTAGGTGGGCTGGGAGAGCAAGGATGGGGTGGATACTAATGATACATCATAGCCTCACCACTTCATAGAGAAAAAAGAAAATAAGTTATGAAGCTATAGACAGCTATCCCCACAACTCCATACATTCATCACGTAAATCTGCAAATAAATGTGGTGATAAATACTCAGAATCAAAGCTGGAACTTTTCTATAGGATGTTACATGATGATACCTAATTTCTGACGTTACTGCCTTCCCAGGGAGATAAAGAGAATATTGGTGCTTTATATTGAATTTGAGAATAGGAGCTAGTGTTGTTCTCATTAATTTTTGGCCAGAATCCCCAGAAGCATATCACTAAATCTAGAAGTCCAGAAAAAAACAAGGAAGGGGAAAAGATGTATACAATAGGACATCCCTCAAAATTCTGGATAAATCAAGGCTGAACATTTATATCTTCCTCTAACTTGGGCCGAAAATCACAGAAGAGCAGCAGGATTTCCCTTCTTCCTGCTCTGGTGAAGTCATCTTCAGCTTGTCATTTCTCTTTCTGTGGTGCCACAGTTTCTAGCTTTTGCTCCTGTAAGTGGTTCTTCTCCCCATTCTTCATAGGGAGGTAGTGGTTACTATTATTATACACGTTGCTGTCTCTGGATAAGGCACATTGTGATGGGGCTGGAAGATGATGATCACTCTTCTCTTCCTTGATCAATGTGCCATTGTTTCCATTTACCTGTGAGCAAGATTTCCCTTGATGAAACTCCAGGGATTTAGAGACTCCATCTGAAGAGCTCTGTCAAAAACAGAGATACTCAGTAAAACCAGTAAGCCCAAACTGGCTGACCCTTCCTAAGCATGTTCACAAGGTAGCCTGAGGAAGTTGCTTCAGTTCTTCAAAAACAACAGAAAACCTACAGCTTGCACTGTCCTAAGAACTTACAGTGACAATAGATGGACCTAACTACAATTCAATGGAAATGACAACACTGATAATGACATAGCTACCATTCACAAAACTATGTTTTTCTAATAATTATAGGAACGCTAAATGGTAGATATTATGATCCCCCATTTTCAGACGAGGAAGCTGAGGCTCAGGAAGATTAAAGTAACTTGCTCAAGGACACCTAAATAGAAAGTCATAGGGCTAGGATTCCATTCCTGGTCAGTCAGCCCCTAAAGTCCATTTCCTTAACTGCCATGCAATGAGATCATATGCAGACAATTAGATATGCAAATTAAAGGAGAACAAAAAAAAAAACAAATAAAGATCTATGTGCAACGTTTCACAGAATCCTTCATAACTAAAAACACTCACCTATTTATCTTTTTTGTTATGGTTTTGCTTTGGTTTTAATTTTAACTTTTGTAGAGATAGGGTCTCACTCTGTTGCCCAGGCTACAGTGCATTGGTACTATAATAGCTTACTGTAACCTTGAGCTCCTGGGCTCAAGCAACCCTCCTGCCTCAGCCTTACCGAGTATCTGGGATTATAGGTACACACCACCACATCCAGCTTGTTTTTCATTTAATCCCAGGAATGTGACTGCTAGTGCTAATGATATGAACTATATTACTTTGCAGTGCAGTGTTGGCTCTCAATGAATGTTATTAGGAATAATAATAGCTTCTGATTACTAAGTAGTTAGACATGGCACATCCCCTGTTGTTCTTCTTATAGATAAGACAATTGAGGCTCAAAAAACTAAAATGACTTTAATTAAATCTTCATAACAACACTTCAAGGTAGATTCCAACTGTTCAATTTTGTAAATGAGGAAACTAGGGCACAGAGAGTCTAAGTAACTTGCCTAAGGTCACAGAACTGCTAAGTGGCAGAGCCATATTCAAAGATCATTTGGCTCCAACATATACAACATGGAGGCTACTATGAAGTATTGCCCAAGAACCTAGAAGTAAAACTAGTAAACATCTACACAATTAACAGAATGAGCCGCTTGAGGGAGTCAAAAAGGAAATCAAAACATTATAAATGAATGACTTAAGAACTTAATAACAGGCTGAGTGTGGTGGCTCACACTATAATACTAGCACTCTAAAAGGCCAAGGCAGTGGACTGCTTGAGCTCAGAAGTTTGAGACCAGCCTGAACAGGAGTGAGATCTTATCTCTACTAAATAAAAAAAATAAGAATTTTTTTTTAATAAGACAAAAAGTAAAAAGAAAGAAAAATTAGCTAGGCATCATATAGTCCCAGCTACTTGGGAGGCTGAGAATCTCTTGAGCTCAAGAGTTTGAGGTTATAGTGAGATATAACACGAGAACACTGTACCCTGGGCAACAAAGTGAGACTCTGTCTCAAAAAAAGAAAAAGCAACAAGAATTTCAGAACATATAAAACTCTAGTGCCCAGGAATGATCTCAAGAAGACAGGACTACAGTGCAAGCAGATTTAATAAACTACAACAATTAATTATCAAATATTCTGGAAAGAGGGTGACTAAATTGAAAAAAAAAGGAAAATCAACAAGGAAGTCAGTAATATTTATACTCAGGGAAAATGCCTTAGCTAAAAGCAAAGTCAAAATGAGAATATCTGGGACAGCACCTGTGGCTCAAGGGAGTAGGGCACCAGCCCCATATGCAGAAGGTAGCAGGTTCAAACCCAGCCCTGGCCAAAAAAAAAAAAAAAAAAAAAGAGGATGTCCTTGGCTGGGAAACCTCTAGAATAGATAACAGTATCTATAGCAATCTTAGCGAAGAGATCACCTATCATACCTTATTTTCTTTCTCTTTCCTTATCTACTTCCTTCATAGGTTCCTATAAAGGATTCAGTGAGACACTCCATGTAGAACACTTAGAACATGTTATGTTTGGTATGTTTACTCAATAAATGCTACCTAATATCATTGTTCTGATTCCATGCCCTCAAGCAAACTTCTGATAATATGGCATTTCTTACAGCTTGCCTTTAGAGAAAGAAAGCTATAGCAGTACTGGTTAAGAGTATTAATATCAAAGTCAGTCAGAGCTGAGTCTCATTCTTATTTCTAACAATTAGAGTTGTTATACTGTAGTGGAATCAACGTAACATAGGGTTTTGGAATCAGTTAGCTCAAGCTGGAATGTCAACTCTGATAATGACTTGATGGATAATTTGGGGCAAGAAACTTCATTCTTTAAGCCTCAGCTTCCTGCTATTTAAAATAGGGAATAATGGCCAGGGACAGTGGCTCCTATAATGGAGTGGAGTACCTATAATCCTAGTACTCTGAAAGACCAAGGTAAGAAAATCACTTGCACTCAGGAATTCGAGATCAGCATGAGCAAGAGTAAGAGCCCATCTCTACTAAAAACAGAAAAATTAGCTAGCCATCATGGTGGGCACCTATAGTCCCACCTACTTAGGAGGCTGAGGCAGAAAGATCATTTGAACCCAGGAGTTTGAGGTTGCTGTGAGTTAGGCTGATGCTACAGCACTCTAGCCTGGGGAACAGAGTGAGACTCTTTCTTAAAAAAAGAAAAATAGGAAACAATAAGAAAATAGGTAAAATACTTCACAGGGTATTTATGTGGTTTCAATGAACTCATCTATTTATAAGAGTGACTGGAGGCCGGTCTAAAGGTAGTGAGTTGTTTCAGTTCGCAATCAGTTATAGACAAAACTCCTTATTCTACTTTTTCCTCCCTTCTCATTACTACACTTTACTAGTAAGGAAAAACAAAAGAATGACTAGAAAAGCATGAGTGTACAATATTTATAATAATTATTTCTTCTTCACTTTTCCTTATTATAGATCAGAATTTTATCTGTTACTCCCTTTGTCCCCTCTCCCCCTTAGCCATATCCATACCTATTTCTAGGATCTTAGTGTGATTCAACTACTGAGAGATGAATCTACTCTTACTGTACCAAATATAAGAGGTTTTTCATACTGCATGCCTGATGATCAGACCCTGAATCTTATCAGTCATTAATTCATCAAAGTTATACCATTTTCTGGGATCCTACCTGGGTGACTAGCTTCCTTCCTAGGTGTAATCCTTTTTACCTTACTGAGCAGTTTTTCGAAAAAGCTGAGAAGCTTTGAAAGAAGGACAAAGTCACTGCTCTTTAGGTTTGGAGTGCATTATAAAATGCTTTGTGTGGTGAATTTGCTATTATAGTTTTATTTTTGGCTGAAAATAATATTAAAGCAAATTTATCTTCTTTGAGAAAACGTTAGACAATGAAGGTTAACATGGATGTAGTGAGAGCTGCCAAGCTCTCTATATAGGAGGAGAGTAAATTTAGGATTGAGAACTGATGTCAAAATTGCCTAGAATTAGAGACTGCATATAAAATGTCTGAAAAGGGCTTGGTAAAAGTAGGTACTCAATAAATACAGTTTGAGTCCCATATAAGAATGGGGAACACTAGAAGAATAGATTCACATAGTCTATATTTGAGGTGGAAAAAGGGGCATGTCTAATGAGAATCAGTGAGAGCTGGAATATAATTCAAGGCATAAATCAGAAGAAAGTTTAAGACCTTTCTGAGTCACAAAGAATAAGCACAATGGTAATGTTCCACTTGCTCATATTCAGCAAAGGCAAAAGCCCGATTTTCTAAGCATCTCTGGTGGCCCCGCAGAAACTCAGGCATGCTGTAGTCAATCTAACTGTTATCTTCACTCTGGCCCCTTTCTGGCTACATGTAGCACATACTATGCCAGGTATAGGTCTTCAAGACACAGTACCTGGTTTCTATATTGTGGTCTCACTCAAAGAAAAGGATAAGATTCTGCAGCCCTATGGGAACAGATTTAGGCAGACTAACCCTCACTAGACTTCTAGAGAGCAGGCCAATGAAATCAAATGCCTGCAGAAGCTGTGAAGGTTCCCTGAGCAGCTTGGGTTTCCATACTTGATCTGATCTCTTGCAATTTATCTGAAAAGGCAAGAGGCTTCAAACAGAAGTGAGATAATCTCAAAAAAGGTACTTACTTGTTTATTTCCTTTTTTGTGCCCTTTGGATCCTCTACCAGTCTGTTTTGCATGCCTTTAGTAAGTGGGAGAAAAAGTGGTCATAAGAAACATATAAAGCCTACTTCCTCAAATTCACTTGGTTAACTATTTATCTCCTCTAGAAAGTTTGACCCTCCTCTATGTTACCGTTGCAAACTTCTATCTCTGGCATTTCTACATTATACTGAACTGCCATGTCCTGTGTTCGGCTCTAGGACAAAAAACTCTTTTGTCAAGGAAGGACAACTAAACTGAAAACTGGCTTTAGGGAAAGTTAGGCTGGGTGCAATGGTTCATGCCTGTAATCCTAGCACTCTGGGAGGCCAAGGCAGGTGGATCCCTTGAGCTCAGGAGTTCAGGACCAGCCAGAGTAAGAGTGAGACCCCATCTCTACTAAAAATAGAAAAATTAGTTGGGCATTGTGATGGTCAACTGTAGTAGTCCCAGCTACTTGGGAAGCTGAAGCAGGAAGATCACTTGAATCCAGGAGTTTGAGGTTGCTGGGAGGTAGGTTGATGCCACAGCACTCTAGTGCATTCTCTCTCTCTCTCTCTCTCTCTCTCTCACACACACACACACACACACACACTCAGGAAAGTTAGTTAATACCTTTTACCTTAATATAAGGATTCAGTGACTGGGCATTTTCCCAAAGGAATCTTGATTTATACTAGTACATACCAACCTATTTGAATACATACCCCTTTCCTGGCCCACCAACAGAAACAACTTGGATGCCAAAGGATCCTTGGCCTCTGGAGGATCTGCTGCCTGCCCACTGGCCCACAACCATTCCAGCAATCTCCAGTTTTCCTCCTTGAGGTGGGATTGAATGGAGACCTTTCAACAGAGGAAGAGTATCAGTAATGAATGCTATGTACAAGGGAAGATAAGAGGTTGAACTAAAGATCCTACAGCCTACCTACTCTGCCTATTTCCTTTTCTCTCTGATAAAAGACTGTGATAACAATAAGAGGTTATGATTTAAGTGAATTTAAGGGGAGGACTTTGAAGATATGTACACTATACACACCTACATTAGCAAATGAGGTATGGGTGATTAATGTTTTAACTACAGAGTCTGGCATGTGGTAGAAATTCAGTATTTTTCAAGATAATAAATGTCTTAAAATCTAGTTATTGGAAAATTATAGGCCAAAACCACTTTTAATACAAATATGCATCACTATACACTGTAGGATTAGCCAAACAACCAAACTAAATTGAAAATAATAAAACTAAACTAACAGTAATTTATAATTAAAAAGCAAGAATGGTTAGAACCAAAGCCAGTTCAAGACAAGATGGCAAAGTATTACCTTAAAACAGAGGAAATTTCAACTATGTATGTGAACTTACAAGTATAGTTGAGTTTTGTAATTAACTACAAAAGTAAGCATTCAAGAATAAGGAGTTCTAGTGGGCTTTTAATTTTAGTTTATGGAAAAAAACCAAATGTCAATAATCCTTAACTCATTTAGCAGGTTGTTAGTAAATATCTCTTTGCTCATATAAAAGTTTAGAGTCCAAGAAACGGGGGTGCTAGGTACTCCTAAGAGAGATAAGAAACACTTGCATTCAGGGATCCTACTGTGGCCTTTTGGGAGGCAAGAAGCTCTTTGTTAATCACCAATAACTGGAGATCAAGCATCACTGGCAGCTGGAGCATTGGTGACCTCTGGAGAATTACGCCTTAATTAAGGCTGCTTTCTGAGATTTACATAATAGAATAAACACACAAAGAACCAGAGAAGGGATCTCTAAAGTCATCTGAAAGAGATAAAATAGCTGTTCCCCTGGATGTAATAATTGATCATTACTTGACTGAACAGGGAGTGATCAGAGTAGACTTTCATGCCGCTAATCTGGTCCCAACCTTAATCTAAATACCCATTCTGAATTTTTTGACATTGAAAAACTAACTTCACCTTTTAGCTTTATTATGTTTAAAATAAAGAGCAATAGACAACAAATACCTTCAACCATATTAGTAACACCCTCAGCCAATCACAGAATCTTGCTATTTCATTTAAAAACATCCCCATTAAAATACCCTGTTTCACCAGGGGACAGGTTGTTGGAATTATCAGGATAAAGTATCTGAGCTTCCTAAGCTTGACTATCTACTTACGGTTAAGTGGTAGCTCAGGTGTCACTATAATTTATACACATGTGTATATGTATGCATGTATTTGTATATGTGTTTGTATGTATGTATTTGTTTTCCTCACTAAACTACAATCCTCTGAGGGCATGGACAGTTACTTTATTTCTCTCCATGCTTCTAGAGCTGAAGGTAGAGAATATGTCAGGTCTACCCCCAGAGTGGAAATGTTTACCTCAAACTATCATCATCTAATAACACTGGCCATTTATTCCCATTGCTCTTCTTGCGTGCATCTGCCTGTAGTTCATATGAGCTTTAGTTATAAAAAGTAATCAAGTGGCTTCTGGTTTCCCCATTAGTCACTTCATGATTTTGGTGGGTGAGAGTCAAATCCCTGGGGACCACCAACCAACCACCTCTGTGAAAAGTGTCATAGAAGATGTCAAAATGGACACTGTTCTTCACACTACTACTACACAGCACAGAAAGTAAATGAGGTAAGATATATGTGAAACTTTTGCTTGTATATCTGGCAATAATTACTGGGTGGGTTATTATGAAATAAACTGAGGATGGCAAATACCTCATTCTTAGGTACCGACCTGGAAATCCCCGGCTCCTTCCTTGAGGGGAAGGTGGTATGGACCCCATGGCTCGGGAATAAAGTGAAACAGGGTAGAGAGAGGGTACTATGGGAGACAAAAAAGTAGGTGATGGAAGTAGAGCAGAAGGCAGTGGATGATTCATGTTGACTCCTTCAAGGATACTCTGTCTCATCTTTTCCACTTTGGTTGCCAGGTCAACCTTCCAATGAGGAACAGAATAATAATACAGCTACCATTTTTGAAACTTCTCCCATGTTTCAGGCACAGTATTATATTGAGAAATCTAGGTATAGTCTCACAATTCCATTTCCATTAAGGAACTGAAGCCAACAGTTAAATGATTTAAGGCTACATACTCAGGAAGCCTATATATCACCAAAGCCCCCACTCTCTCTACATGCTATCATATTAGTTCTGACCAAGGCTTCTGAGGTACATTGGCTAAGTCAAGGAAGACAAATATAACAATAAGGATTTACTCATGATCTATTACATAGTCAGCATTGGGATGGATCATTTTTAAAAGGAGAGATAATAGAATTAGTTAAAAGAGAGAAGAAAATCTGACAAATTCTAAGCCTTTTAACTTTCTCCACTATAGGGATCAGAGACCTTGAGCTCTATTCAGGATAAATCTATACCTCTAGTCCAGAGGTCAGAAAATTTCTGAAAAGGGCCAGATAGTAAATATTTTAGGCTATATAGGCCACATTGTTTATCGTAACTATTCATTCTTGCCATTGTAGTATAAACACAGTCATAGACAGTATAGAAGTGAATGAATGCAACTATGTTCCAATAAAATGTTATTTAGAAAAACATAGGTTTCTCAGACTTTGGACTTTACCTTACAAACACAAATAATGTAACCTAGGTATGTACCTTCATATTAATCCAAAATTTAAAAAAAATTGATAAAAGAAAAACAGGGGGTGGGCTGTATTACAAGAAACAAAAGGCAGACTGGGTAGTTTGCTGACCTCTGCTCTAGTCCCTTAGCTTATTCCCCCCAAAATGGATAAAGGAGGAAGTAAGATTTCCTTTTCCTGACCTTCCCAGGGTTTCATTTTTAAAAATTCTCTGCTTTTACTCTGTATATACTTTATGACCCTCTTCTAGTTCCAAATATAGTCCTTTATAAAAATATCATCATTTTCAAGAGGGACTTTACATTGTACATCAAATCAGCACATTGTACCCCATAAATACATTAATGTACATAGTTATGATTTAATAAAGAAAAAAAAATTCCTAAGAGTTAGAGGAAAGACATATAGTATATCTGAGTATTCCATGGGGAAGAAATACTTGGGAGTAAAAAAAAGAATATGAAAATTTTAAGCTCATGAAAAAACTTTCCAATATGTGATTTTATAACATGTACATGCCAGACTATGGGACTTAAGGGCCATTGTCTGACTCTAAGTTAGGTTAAGGTCAGACACATTCTCCTGATTTTGTTCCTTCATTCTCCAATGTCTATGCTCCTTTTCCCTCCCTGATCATTTATCCCCATAGCAAATCAGAACTTGCCCTTAGCATCTACCCCACATACTGATACCTGGCCATCACAGAGCTCAATCAGGGATACTCGCTCTTGGCCTGCTTTAATTAGCTTGCTTTGGAACAGCTTGCCATCAAAGTAAATCCAGGGGCAGCAGTGTTCCCAAGGGACTGGTTGGCCACAGGCATCATTAGCAAACAGAGCTGTGTCTACCCCACTCATGAAGAGGGCAGCAAGCTGGATCCCTCGAGCATCCAGTTTCTCAATCTGAAATTATCACAGAGGAAAAATTACTCCTAAGAAATTATGATTATTGATAAGGTTTACACTTATTCTTATCATGTTGATTCTTCTAGCTAAATCTGAACATGTTGTCCTTCAATATAGACATTAGAGTACACAAGAAGCTTCTATCTATGAGATGATTTGAAAGGTACTCATCACAACATTAAAAAGAAATATTAATTTTTTGCCCATCAAATTAGAAAAAAATTCAAAAAGTAAAGACCAAAAGAATACTCAATGCTGACAAAGATGCAGTAAAATAAACAGGCATTCACATAAATCTGGTAAGGAATGCATATTACAATTAAATAATATGTATCAAGAACCTTGAGAATGTTCACATTTGTTGACTCAGAAATTTTAATTTTAAGAATTTATTCTTGGCCAGGCTCACACCTGTAATCCTAACACTTTGGGAGGCTGAGGTGGGTGGATTGTCTGAGCTCAGGAGGACAAGACCAGCTTGAGCAAGAGCAAAACTCCATCTCTACTAAAAATAGAAAAACTAGCTGGGCATTCTGGCAGGTGTCTGTAGTTCCAGATAATTGGGAGGCTATGGCACGAGGATCTTTTGAACCTAAGAGTTTGAGGTTGCTGTGAACTATAATGCCATGATACTCTACCCAGGATGGCAGAGTGAGATTCTGTCTTAAAATATATATATATATTCTATGTAAATAGAGATGTGAATAAAGCTCTATGCATACTATAACACTGCACATAATAAGGAAAAATTGGAAACAATCTAAATCACCAACATTATAATAATTAAATAATACTCAGGGTGGTGCCTGTGGCTCAAAGGAGTAAGGCGCCGGCCCCATATGCCACAAGTGGCGGGTTCAAACCCAGCTCCAGCCAAAAACTGCAAAAAAAAAAAAAGAAAAAAAAATAATACTCAAACATCCATATGAAAGCTATTATTTACTAATTTTTTTTTGAGTTAGAGTCTCACTTTATTACCCTTGATAGAGTGCCATGGCATCATAGCTCACAGCAACATCAAACTCTTGGGCTCAAGTGATCTTCTTGCTACAGTTTTTCATTTTTAGTAGAGATAGGGTCTCATTATTGTTCAGGCTGGTTTCTAACTCCTGAGCTCAAGCAATCCACCCACTTTGGCCTCAAAGAATACTAGGATTATAGGCATGAATGAGCCACCACACCTGGCCTTTACTAAAGTTTTTTAAGACAAACAAAACATGTGCTGTATTAAATGAAAAAGCACATAAATAATATCTCAACTATGTAAAAAATGCATGATAAAGACTAGAAGAAAATTTCTACAGTGGTTATTTCGAGTTGGTATTTTAGAAGGTGGCTTCAACAGGAAAAGGGGAAGTATTTGCAAGTTTTCTCCTTGGTGTGGATAGCATGAGCAGCTGCTTTAGCACAAAGTAATACTATATTTACTGCCAATAGGAACCACTTGCTGTTTCTCTTACACTGTTTCATCTTTCTTTTAGTTGATCTAACTTAAATTAAAATTTTGTAAGTCTTATTGAACTGGATCTTCTACTTTACCCTAGGGCCTCAAAGGAGTATGGCTAGTGAAGTGGGGGCAGGAGTGTGCTCCATTAATAGTTGTGTTTACTGAGTACTTAAAATACATGAGACACTGTTTTACAGATTATTTTTCTTAACATCCTCATAATCCTATAAGCAGGGAAACTGAAGTTAGAGAAGTAATCTATCTTCTCAAGGTCATACAGATAGGTGATAATGAAGCCAGGATTCAAACTTAGGACTGACTAGCTTCAGAAGGTACCCTCTATATTACTATGTTCTATTGCCTTCAGTGGGTTACTTTTCTTCCTTATGCGTTTCTATACTTCCTCCTAATTCCCATACATATTATTAAAAGGTAGAGTAAAAATGTACTCAGGTAAGCAGAGGATACCAGGATAAGTACTATAACTCCTATAAGTACTATATCTTATAGGAGTTAGAAACCATACCTTGGTCTATGGACTGACTTATTTGCCTTGCACAATATCTGCCTTTACTGTCTATTCTCAACCATCAGTATGGGAGCAATATAGCAGGTACCACTTGTTTTTATTAATAGATACAAATATTTTATTAAATTAAATACACGAGAACTTATTCTTCCCCCAGCTCCGAGGGAAAAATAAACCCTAAAGAAGAGCTATAATCTCATAAAAGACAGAATTTCAATGAGGGTGGTTCAAATCACCTTTAGTTCTTGGAGTTGATCTGGTTCAGAAAGCTGAGTAGACACTGCCTGTGCAAGGAAGGTATCTAGCTCATGGCGATGTAGGATTCGGCCACTAGGCCACTGAACCATGTATCTGGAAAAATAAAAGCATTGTTATTAGACCATGAAAGTGCATTTATTCATGTCAAAAACACTTATTAAGCTAAGAACCTATCATGAATTGACTCTAGGCTAGGTTTTAACAATTCCAACTGAAAGAGATAAAAAAGAATTTCTGCTTTTGTTACTTATAGTCTGAATAGTAGTGGAGATAGGCACAACAAAAAAAAAAGCAAGATAATATGGTAAGTACCAAGGCAGAAGAACACACAGGGTGCTGTGAGAACACAGAAAGGGTCATGACTCTGAGGCTGAGGGAAGGAATCTTAAAAAAAGCCAGCTCAGTTTCAAATGCCCTGTAGAATTTAGGCAAAAGGTGAGGAAAGGATGTTCTAGGTTAAGCGAAGAGTATGTGTGAGGAATGTAGGTATGGCTCAGCATGATGTACCAGGTTCCATATTGCTGAAGCTAAGCATGTTTGGAGTGACAGGGGCGAGATTAGAAAATAGGCCACCAGACCATGAAGAGTCTCAAAACCAGAATTAAAGCATTTGTACCTTCATAATAAAGTTGTAGGAAAACACTTAAGCAGGAGAGTGATATTCATTGGCTCAGAGAGGAAGAGACAAGGCATGATACCAATTGAAAGGTGACTACAGCAATCTATGACCAAAGAAGAACTGAACAAAGGCACTGGCTAAGGAGATAGAGGGGGCCAGGGGACAAAGACAAGAGTTATTAAAGAGATAAAACCATAAGACTTGGTCATGGATTTTACGAGAAGAGAGTAAGATAAGGGAAGAGTCTAAGACTCTTAAAATCCTAGCTTGGGCAAATGGCTAGATGACATTGATGAGTACTTGAATTGAATGTCCATGAATTGAATATGGCTTACTGTTCTAGATACTGAGAATGTAGAAAGAGCAAGCAGGTGGAGAGGGGGTGGTAGGGGTGGGGGGAGGACAGAGAGAGGGAAAAGACAAATGAAAAAATGTATCAGTTTAAAGTTTAATGTCCTTAGTTCCCTGAAGGCCTACCAGACAATGTGCCCTTTGCCCATTCTTTCATTTTTAACCTTTCAATATTATTTTGCTGGTAAAATGTAAAGCAAAAAATAGAAGAAAAAAACAAATGCAATCACAGTAAAAGACTTTAAAATATCACTAGCAAGCTTTGACATGTAAAATATACTTAAAATACATTTAACATCACAGCAGATTTAAATAATATACTAAATAAGGTTTAAATGTTTGACTGACTTTGTACAAAGAAAACACATTCTTTTCAAGTACCATGTGAGTTCCCATTAGTTATAGGACCTTGTTTGTTTCCCTTGTTTGTCTTTATTATCTCTTGTTTATTATGAACTATCTATTATAGTACATAGCATAGAATAGGTGCAGCAAATACTTATTGGAGGATTGATAGGATGCATCAATTGGGTCATGCCAAACAAGAAAACAAAACAAAAAGGAGACCTCACCAAAAATGCATTCTCTAAAGCATATTGTACCAGTACTGACCATTGTGCAGGAAAAACTAATGTAAAGGAGCTCCTACAGGAGTCAAATATAGGAGACAGGAAAGCTACAGAAAGTCTAATATAACATAAGTGGTGTAATTTTACGACTTGAACAGATTGTTTTAGATGCTCCAGGAGAGTGACTAAATTTACCTGGGATAATCACAGAAGGCTCCACAGCAGAAGGAACAATGAATTTCCTAGGGATTGGAGATTTTTATTTGGCTTATAATGTAATGTGTATTTGAAATTTTAAATGTCATCCTAACCTTAATATAGTATGTGACAGAGTGAGTGTTCAATAAATTTTTGCAGCTTGGCGCCTGTAGTTCAAGCAGCTAGGGTGCCAGCCACATACAATGGAGCTGGCAGGTTCAAATCCAGCCTGGGTCTGCCAAAGAACAATGACAACTACAACCAAGAAAAAAAAATAGCCAGGTGTTGTGGTAGATGCCTATAGTTCTAGCTACGTGGGAAACTGAGGCAAGAGAATTGCTTAAGCCCAAGAGTTTGAGGTTGCTGTGAGCTGTGACGCCATAGTACTCAACCCAGGGTGACAGCTTGAGACTCTGTCTCAAATAAGTAAATAAATAAATTTTGCTAAACAAATGAGCCAACATCAATACATTCAAAAGAGGGACCAGGAACAGTGGCTCACACCTTTAATCCTAGCACTCTGGGAGGCCAAGTCAGGCAGATTGCCTGAGCTCAAGAATTTGAGACCAGCTGGAGGAAGAGCGAGACTCCACTTCTGAAAATAGCCAGGCACTGAGGTTGGTGCCTATAATCTCAGCTATTCTGGAGGCTGAGGCAAGAGAATCTCTTGAGCCTGAGTCTAAGGTTGCTATGGTGCCATGGCACTCTATTGGGGGTGACAAAGTGAGACTGTCTCAAAAAAAAAAAAAAAAGAAGAAAAGTAAATTCAAAAGGAAATACTAGTTACATCCTTGGAGCAGCACTGCTATTCAATTATTCTTGAATGAATTATGAGACAGAGTGCATGGTCCAATGAGTGAGAGGAGTGAGCTCATTTGGCTTAGAAATGGGACACCAAAAATAATAATACTTACTAAATAAATCAATATTTAGTGATGCTTATCATGTGTGATTTTGGAATTATATAATTTCAATGGGGATTTTCTCTGGAAAACCTAGTGTTAGTTATTTCCAAAGGAACTTCCTCAATCTCAATGACAATATGACATTTTCATTATTACTTTTTATCATTACTATTAGTAGTAGTTACATTATTATACATACCATATGCAAGCATTTTACATTCTATTTTAATATATGCCACAAACAATAAGTTACACATATGAATAACATTTACTAAAGAAGACAAACTTGAAGACTGACATTCTTGGTTCCAATCTAGGTTCCACTACTCCTTTTCTGTGTGACTCTGGGAAATTGCTTTGAACTCTATGGAATTTAGTTTGCTCATATCTAGAATGGGGATGATTCCACCTACATCTCAAAGGCTTCAATAAGTAAAAAAAAAAAAAAAGAAAGCAGGGTGGAGCCTGTTGCTCAGTGGGTAGGGTGCTGGTCACATACACCAAGGTTGGCATATCCAACTCAGCCTGGGCCAGCTAAACAACAATGACAACTGCAACA